GTTCCGGACTTCCAATTTAGATCTCAAACTATTTCAAGCAGCTAAAATAAAATGCAGGACAGTTAGCATGAAATTTATTTAGGAAAAAATAATTACTGAAAAACCGTAAACTTTTTTTTCTAATTTGTTTTTTCAGTCTTGACATTTTATCAGTATTTAGATTTTGGAAATAAAATCCAAGTAGCTCTACACATGCAATGAAAAGGGTGTTTGTGTACATTTTTATTGCGTTAACTATATATGTTTTCTATTTTCCTAGACTACTTTGCCCCATTTGTTAACCTGAGCCTCCTGTGCTGGGTATAATAGGAAAATACTTTTCTCAGATAGAATCATCGATACATTCATGCTCAGGGTTTCTTGGCCGCTTCGGCTTCTTATTCACCTATTTCCTGATGGAGCTGAGCGTATCTTGTGCTTGAAACCTGGGATGCTGGTGGGAAACATCCTGATCCTTTACAGGCTGCTGTAGGAGGACCCAGTTGAAACAACAGAGTCCGTGCTCAAGCAAGGACTGCTCACGTGAGTAAGGGTTTGAGTCATCGGAGCCCAAGAGGACTGGTAAGGAGGAGGAAGCTGTTTCATCAGATGCCTGGTAGCAGGAGATGTAAATACATAACCCAGAGGAACGGGCTGATTTTGTGGATCATATGCACAGCAGTTGTGCTAAATCGGGTGGTGTTATTTGGAAAGCACAACAGAAAAGAGAAGATGCATACGGAGAGCTCTGAAACACATGCTCTGGAGCAAGATGTTGGTGTGGGTATATGAAATCACAGAGGTGCAAACAGTGTTCGTTCACCATCTGAACCCCAAGTGCAGCATCTTGGCATAAAAAAGTGAGCTTTTTTAGGCGTGGCAGCAGTGTGTGTGACGCACGAGCTGGTGACATAGCCTCCACTGAGCGAGGACAGCACGTGTCGGAGGCAGGAAGGCACACTTCATAGAATCATAGAATGCTTTGGGTTGGAAGGGACCCCTAGAGGTCACCTAGTCCAACCCCCCTGCAGTAAGCAGGGACACCGCTAACTAGATCAGGTTGCTCAGAGCCCCGTACAACCTGGTCTTGAATGTTTCCAGGGATGGGGCCTCCACTGCCTCTCTGGGCAACCCCTTCCAGTGTTTCACTACCCTCAGCGTAAAGAATTTCTTTCTTATATCCAGTCTAAACCTACCGTGCTTCGGTTTAAAACCATTACCCCTTGTCCTGTCACAACCAGCTCTGCTAAAAAGACTGTCCCCATCTTTCCTATAGGCTCCCTTTAAGTACTGAAAGGCCGCAATCAGGTCTCC